TTGAAATTTGTACTGATTCTTTGATTCATGCATGATAGAATATCCCTATCAATCTCCAGTTGGCAGATTAAAAGAATGTCCAAATCCAATTATTTTTAACAGTTGGGTTGAATTCTTTTGTTTCACTTGTATCTCACCCTCCTTAGCAGGCACTTCTGTCTTGGTAAACTGAGACACTCAGTTGAAAACAGGACACTGTGCCATAACTAGGTGTCTTGATGTTTTAATCACATCACATTGGGTTGCAGCAGGTTCTATAAAACAGCCCTCTCAGTAACTCACTGTAGGCATCATTCTTGCTGCACTGTAGATTCTTCCCTACCTTTACAACAGAGTTTCAAATCAGAGAATATTCTGAGTTGGAAGGGACCCATAAGGATCATTGAGCCCAACTCTTAAGTGATTGGTCCATAGGGGGATAAAACCCACAACCTTGGTGTTATTAGCACCATGCTCTGACCAACTAAGCTAAGCTCAGTTCCTCATTCAATGCTCCATCACTGCATTCACTAAGAAGCAGGGGGAAAAATACTGAAGGAGTGGTTGCTTTTACATTATTATGAGCAATAATCTTGAGCAAAATCCAAGGAAATATTTACTAATAACCCCTCATTCATGATTTTGGTTTCTTATTCAATGAAGGTTTGTTTTTGTGGGGTTTTACACACATGTTGTTCTGTATATGCATTGGGGAAATAGAATTAACTCTGTGTCTCATATGCTTAAGTCAAAGTATTTCTTTGAACATTTCATAGTTATTATTCAATATACAAGATGCACAATCTGACACTACATGGTGTTTCTGTTCTCTGAACTGCATCAACTGTGATATGATTCTGTCTAAAAGAGTCGTAATTACTGAATTTTGTTTCCAATACACTCCATACAATGTGTTTTCTTTGGTTTTGCTTGTTGAAAATCAAAATGAAGTATAAACCTACTAACACATTTCAGGCAATGATTTTTTTTTAATTTAAATTTTTACTATTGCTCTCTCATAAGGCTTCAAACACACAAAACATTTGCACTAAGATGAAGTATTTAAAACTTCAGTCTTTCCTCTCCTGGGAAAATTATGAGAATACAAATCAAATATAATCTATTTGAGTTATCATAATGTCCTGGGTTACACAAAAATTCTGGTATTCACCTTTTATTTTCTTTTTTCTCCAAATATGCCGTTTCGGTGTTTTGCCTTCTTTAAAGAGACTGAACTGTTTATGATTAATGACTCAAACATTTGACCACCTGCAGTGACCTCCCAGGTGCTGTAAGAGACTGGACTATTGGTGCTAATGGCTCAATCAGCAGTGTACTTTGTTAACAATGTGTAGAGTGGCCACCCAGGTGCTGAGGGCTTACACATTTGACACCTCAGACTACAAGCTGAGTGTTGAACAAGACAAGGAGGCAAACCCTGATAGGCGGGGTAGGTTTCTTTGTCCTTACACAACTGACTCAGATGTGATAACTCCCCTCAGGGAAAGATTTGGGATAATTCACACATAGCCTGAAGATATTCATCTTTAGGACAGGAGGGCATGGGTTTAAGCTCTGTCATGGGAGGTTTAGGTTGGATATTAGAAAGAAGTTCTTTACAGAGAGAGTGATCAGGCACTGGAATGGCCTGCCCAGAGAGGTGGTGGATTCACCGTCCCTGGAGGTTTTTAAGATGAGGTTGGATGTGGCACTGAGTGCCATGATCTAGTAATCATAGTGAGGTTGGATCAAGGGTTGGACTTGATCTCAGAGGTCTCTTCCAACCCAGTTAATTCTATGATTCTATGATTCTATGATCTCTGCTGATTGGCCATAATGGATCCACCTGTGCTGACCTAACAGGCAGATGTGACATCTTAGAAGGTGTCAGACCCCTGAAATGTCCCATGATCCAGTATTACATCATCTAGTGTAGAACTCCCCACCCCAGGGGAGGTACTGGGGGCATTCCCAGTTAGCCTGAGCCAAATAAAAGACCACACTTGGACTTCACCCAACACTTGGTTTTCTTTCCTCACCACATGGGACTTTCCTTACCTCCTGGGGTTTCTGATGCCTCAGAGCTTTTTGGATTTTTTTAACTTTTGTAGATTTTAGAAGTAGTTGTGTAGTAAATGTAAATTTTAATGTAGCTGCATTATATCCCTTACTCTTAACATAGCAGTTTACACATACCCAGCCCTATTACCCCATTTCATATCAATGCTTCTAAATTTCCATTAGTGTGTTTAGTCTTCTTTTCAAGGTAGAATTGTAGAAAAACACTTCTGTTTTAGAAATTCAGCACCCTAACCCTGGACCGGGAGATATCATGCAGACACAGCAACCTTCAAGCCCAGAACTTTGGAGGAGCTCCAAAGTGCTGTGAAGAAGATGAAGATGAGGAAGAAGGGGTACCAGAGACTCCAAACCCAATTCCAGAAGGGGCATGTCAAGGGCAGAACTGGGCAGAACCAGGGGGTGGATAGATCTGGGATTGGATGGACCTTATTATAAAATCGTAGAACCAGTGTCTGGGTGAAGGCATGCATCATGTGTATTCCCCTGGACCTGAGGCCTGATTAAAGGATCCGCTCTTTTTATCTTATTTTACACACTAAATTGGCCTGGAGTCTTTTTTTGCATGGTCTCTTTAGGCTATATTCCGTTTTACCTGAATGGATCCAGACTGCAACCACCACTTTGACTAACAAACATCAAAACTGCAACAACCAAGTCTCATTACTGGATCCAACAGGTGTCTTGTGAGTCCTTCCAGTTCCCTGGGGGGTCTGCAGTCCTGCTCTGACTTCTTGTACCAGTTGGTGGTCTAGTGGTTAGGGCGCGGTGCTGTCACCGCGGAGGCCCGGGTTCGATTCCTGGTCAGGGCCACTCCCAGGCAGATGGAGCTCGTTAGCCCTTAAAAGGCAACCCATCTACGTCCTAAGGACCTCGTTGCCACCGTCCAAGCTCGCTTGGCCCAGGCAGATGAACCTTAGGATTAAAGGGTGGGCTCAGTTCCGCGCACACTGTATCTCATCTAAAAAATCCAATGTGCAGGCTGGAAGGTGTAAAGACCTTCCCCGGATCTTCGCTCGCGAAGACTGGCCATTATTATCTTGTACCAGCACTGCAGCCTCACTCCAGCACCACACAGATGTCTGCCAGTATCAAATCCCATCTATCTACCATTTCCTGTGTGACTCTCCAACCACTCCTGCCAGGTTTTCTGGGCTTGGGGGAGGAGAACCACTTGGAAAGGCTACCATCTTGTCTCTGTCCTCTGGCCATGTGTATTTTTCTGAGTGGGGGAGACTGTCTGCCATCTCAATTTGGTCCAGTGGGTGGGGCTAGGGAAGCTTCTCCTTGTCAGTTGGTTTAAACCGGTTTTATCAGTATTGTTATTAGCATTTCTTCTTGGTAAAGAGTTATTTTTTCACTTACATCTGGGCATATTTGGTCTCTTTCTCTGTATTAGAGAAACCAGCAGTATTGAATCTGAGGGAGGAGGCTCTCTGGTCTTTGCCCCTCCAAATTGTCTCAAACGTAGACACGTTCTCATTTTGTTCCAGAAAGGCACTCAGATACTATAGTTTGTGTAAGTATTGCATAAATGCTCTATTGTATTAATAGTTCTAGAGACAGCAAACTTGGGTTTTTACTCTTTTTTTATTGCTACACACAGCTGGAAATGAATGGAAAAAGCATCTGTTATTGTGGCAAGCTTTATTTCATTTCATTACACTACCTACTCCATATATTGACATAGAAAATATGTAATTACATAAACATGTGTTGTGCACCAGTATGTCCATGTAATTAGCATTATTATAGGAGGTGTCTTCACCAGTCATCATTACATGTATGTCTTTTTAGTTCTTTTCCTTGGAGTATAGACAAATATTCAGCCTTAAAGAACCCCAAACAAAAAGTAGAGTTAGCTTTTCTCCTCCAAGATTTTGCATAATGTCAATGGTGGCAGGGCAGCTCGTCTCCAATAAGAATCAATCTCTGTGACAGTAATATTCTCTGAGAACTGGACGTTGATGCTTCTTCTTTATCAACTCTCTTTCAAGATGGCACATATAAAAAAACCCAATTATACATACAGTACTGCAAAATTTTGCATTTTTGGTTTATGCATGCCAGTGAAACCACTTCCAATAATAAAGTCTGCAGTATAAACTGGATTACTTTAGAAATAAAACCTTAGGTTTAAACAGTTCAAGTTCAACTAAAGTTTAAAGTCTAAATCCAAATAACTGCCAAAATTGTATAATATTAAGTTACCTTACAGTGATTTCAAAACACAGTATTTCACAGAATCAACTAGGTTGGAAAAGACCTATGAGATCCTCAAGTCCAACCTATGACCTAACACCACCTTGTCTACTAGACCATGGCACCAAGTGCCACATCCATTCTTTTCTTAAACACCTCCAGGGCCGGTGACTCCACCACCTCCCTGGACAGACAGCCCATTCCAATGCCAAATCACTCCCTCTGTAAAGAACTTCTTCCTAATATCCAACCTAAACCTCGCCTGGTGCAGCTTAAGACCATGCCCTCTTGTCCTACTGCTGGTTGCCTGGGAGAAAAGACCAACACCCACCTGGCTACAACCTCCTTTCAGGGAGTTGTAGAGAGTGATAAGGTCACCCCTGAGCCTCCCTCTTCTCCAGGCTAAACAACCCCATCTCCCTCAACCTCTCCTCATAGGACTTGTGGTCCAGACCCTTCACCAGCCTCATTGCCCTTCTTAGGACATGCTCCAGCACCTCAACATCCTTCTTAAACTGAGGGGCACAGAACTGGACACAGTACTCCAGGTGTGGCCTCACCAGCGTTGAGTACAGGGGAAGAATCACTTCCCTGGTCCTGCTGACCACACTATTCCTGATACAGGCCAGGATGCCATTGGCATTCTTGGCCACCTGGGCACACTGCTGGCTCATGTTCAGTCAGTCAGTACCCCCAGGTCCCTTTCTGCCTGGCTGCTCTCCAGCCACTCTGTCCCCAACCTGTAGTGATCCATGGGGTTGTTGTGGTCCAAGTGCAGGATCTGGTACTTGGTCTTGTTGAACCTCATACCATTGGATTTGGCCCATCTATCCAACCTATCCAGGTCCCTCTGCAGAGCCCTCCTGCCTTCCAGCTGATCTACACTTCCTTCCACCTTGGTGTCATCTGCAAATTCGCTAAGGGTAGACTTGATCCCCTCATCCAGATCATCAAAAAAGATATTGAATGGGACTGGGCCCATCACTGATCCCTGGGGGACACCACTAGTCACTGGCTGTGAACTGAATGCAACACCGTTCCCCACCACTCTCTGGGCCCAGCCATCCGGCCAGTTCTTAACCCAGTGGAGAGTGCACCTGTCCGAGCCATAGGCTGGCAACTTTTCCAGGAGTATGTCGTGGGAGGTGGTGTCATAGGCTTTGCTGAAGTCCAGGTAGACACATCCATAGCCTTCCCCTCATCCACCAGGAGGGTCACCTGATCATAAAAGGAGATCAGGTTGGTCAGGCAGGACCTGCCCCTCCTAAATCCATGTTGGATGGGTTTGATCCCCCATCTGTCCTATAGGTGCTATGTGATTGCACTCAAGATGATCTGCTCCATAACCTTGCCGGGCACTGAGGTCAGGCCAATAGGCCTGTAATTTCACAGATCCTCCTTCAGGCCCTTCTTATGGACGGGTGTTATGCTGGACAACTTCCAGTCATCTGGGACCTCCCTAGTTAGCCAGGACTCTTGATAAATGATGGAGAGCAACTTAGCCAGCTCTTCTGCCAGCTCCCTCATCACCCTAGGATGAATCCCATCTGGTCCCATAGATTTGTGAGCAACTAAGTGGCTCAGCAGGTCACTAAATACTTCATCCTGGGTTTCAGAGGGTCATAATGGCTCCCTGTACCTGTCTACCAGCTCAGGAGGCTAGTTGTCCTAGGGATGACCTGTCTTATTGTTGAAAACTGAGGTAAAGAAGGTGTTAAGTAGTTCAGCCTTTTCCTCATCTTTGGGAAGTATATTTCCCCCCCCCCTCCTGCCCCACCATCTCCAATAAAGAATGGAAGTTTTCTTTGCCCCTCCTTTTGCTATTAATGTATTTATAAAAACGCTTTTTATTATCCTTACCAGAAATGACCAGATTAAGTTCTAAATGATCTTTTGCCTTTCTAATGTCCTTTCTGCATGACCTAATGACATCCTTAAACACTTCATGAGTTGCCTGCCCCATTTTCCAAAGGTGATAAACCCTCTTTTTTTCCCTGAGTTCCTGCAAAAACTCTCTGTCCAGCCAGGCCAGTCATCTTCCCTGCTGGTTCATCTTTTGGCACATAGGGACAGCCTACTCCTGCGCCTTCAAGATTTCTTTGAAGTATGTCCACCCTATCACATGAGAGTGGAAGACTTAGACAAAGTTATTAAAAAGCCTTGCTGGTGAGTCATGAGATGCAGAAAGGACTCCCTTGCTTTCTAAACTCCTTCTCAGAGAAGGGTTTAGGTGCAACTGAATCCTATCTTAGCCTTGGACTGTGTTAATGGTGTAAATTTAAAGGAATTACAGAGGTATGATTAAACCACTTTGTCCTGCAGGTTTTAATGATGGCAAAACAGGTATATTTATATAAAGATATATTTATATGAATGAATTATTTATTATGACAAATTAACAAAACGGTGAACAGACAAAAGATCTTAATCATAATTATTTACTACACAGTGTAAAAGCTAAAAAAATCTATTAGTAGGGTATTGTATAATGTCATAAGTTTGCTTGTTTCAAAGAAAAAAACCCAGGTGGAATTTTTTCCCTGTCCCACTATGAAAAAAAGGTGTTGAATGAGGGAGGGGGAGGGACTGGCTAGAGTGATTCACACACACAAAAGAACTAGCCTCACATTCCAAGCTAATTGGTTCAGAAGACTGGGGAAGGGGGGAGGTGAGTTTTGCTCCTGGGGAAACTGCTCCTCTTCTTACTTTTGTCGGGGACTCAGGGAGGGTGTGTGTGGAGAGAAAAAAGAGCCAAGTTTCATCTTTGTTTTTGGCCAAGTTGCCTGGTTGTCTTGGCCCCAACTTGCCTCTGTTTCCCTCATTCTGTTGCCCCAAAAGGCAGAGAGAAACTGCTTAGAGACAGAGTTTTATGCCTTTAAACAGCAGGTATTTATTATTAAGCGACATCAGAGAACTCCCCGGCTCTGGCCAGGCAAAAGTTCTGAAGTGGTCAGGCAAGAATAGGTAATTTATACAGTCTCTGATTACATCATATTCACATACATATTCATGTTATTGTATTATTAGACTATAATATTCATAGCAGGTGGACTCAGGTGCGGGTTTTGAGGTGTGGTCTTCATTTTGGGGAATAATCGGGTGGTACATCCTGTCTTACTTCATCGGAGGGTCTCAAATTTACTCTTCTTTGTCGCGTGAACTCTGGTGAACTCCTGAACTTTCCATTTTTTTGTGTTCTATCCACTGAAGCTTGAAGAAAGCCTTGGCTTCAGGCCGATTTTACGTATTCAAATGTCTACCTTAGTCTATTTGACCATAATTTATTACCTCTGAGGTCTTTGTATAATGTTTCTTGTGGGTTTAGGTCTGTTGAATTTGTACAGAACAAAATTTCCTTTGAGTAAGGTAGAAAAGGGGGGGGGAAGAAAAGTGGGTCTTTGCAGTAAGATGCTTGATTAACCCTTCTAAAGTCTTGTTTCGCTTAATTCCCCCCTTTTCTTAGAACTTACGAACCCTTTCATCAAGTTCTAGTGAAGTATAGGTATGAATTATTGCCCACATTATCTGGGTCCTTTTGATTATGGAGTGTAATTTATACCACAGCCATATGTTCAAAAAGGATAGTAAAAGCATAACTATTACTATAACTAACACTGGGTGTACTAGGTAGTCGAACACTTTTGTGGCTGAAGGGGATTGTCCTGTGAAGATATCCCACCAATGGTGTTCTCCTGTTTGCTCTATTTTAGTCAGGACATTTGTTATACTGGTAGAGTCGTGTTCAACCTGCCAAATCATTTGTTGAGGTTTTCTATTAACTTCTTGGACTAACTTCTATATGTCAGGGTGCTTAAACAATGCTTTAAGAAGATTAATTTCCATTCCTATCTGTAATTTCGGTACATCATGGTACAAACTATACTTAGCTTCGATTAGTTGCCTAGTAGTAATAGGAACAGTGTAATTAAAGTCACAGCTTAATATTCTAGTAAAATTGCACACACAAAAATTAGTACCATTCGTTTTTACATAACAATGATCAATAAAAACATAAACACAGTGTCATAGTTCTGATTTTAGCAAGGAATTTTTCTTCCCCTTCCCCCTGCCGTGTGTGTGTGCTCTGTATATGGGCCATCAGGTGAACAAAGGAATCAGCCTATCCACTAATGGTCGAGATTAGTCTCCTTGACAACGAAGGGGGAGGAGTTGGGGGGAGGCTATGGAGTGTGGCTGGGGCTGGGACGGCAGAACACCTCATCGTCGGAGAAGCTCGCGGTTGTCTCTTTTTACCCTGAGCCATCGCCAGCTGCAGGTTTTTTTGCCTGAGGTAGATTCTAACTAGTTGGAGATTGTGAGTTTTCTTCCATTGGGAGAACTTTCTGTTTTATTGCTGGTTTTTTCCTTCCCCCTTCCCCCCCCCCATTCCCTCTCTCCTTTCCGAGTTTTTTTTTTTTGGTTTTTGGTCTGTTTTTTTTCCTTCCCTCCAACATACCTGGAGAGTATTGTTGGGGTTTTTTTCCCCCATCCCACAGGGCGGCGACTAGGGATCCCACAGCGCCGCCTGGTGATGGGCACTGGACATTACAAGGTCTGCTCCTCCAGTGATCCAACAGCGCCACCTGGTGAATGGTACAGGACATTACAAATTTTGCATCTCCAGTGACCCAACGGCGCCCCCTGCTGACGGTGGTTGGAACTGCATCAAAGGGTGCAAAAAATTGAACTGTTTAATTTTCCTTCTGCCAGTTTATCGTTGTTCTTGAAGGGGATTATTGGTGGGTATAGGAGTATTGCTTGGTTGTTTTACTTGGTTTTTTCCATGTTCCTGTTAATACACGCATACCTTTTAATAAAGGGTTGTTATTTCCCTTTTCCATAATTTGTTTTCCTTCAATCAGAGCCTCTTAATTTTGGATTTATAATTGCTTAGAAAGAGAAGTTTGGGTCTTTTCCTCCTAATCCATCCTCAGCAAAAGACCCTTGTCTCATTTAAACTGGGACACACAGAATGTTCTAATACATGCACATCCATTTCCTACATAGTACACTTGAGACTGGTTTATATTATGGGGAAGCATTTCAAAAGTACACACACTACTCTCGGCATCTAAGCATAAATCTTCATTTTCTATCACTGCATTTTCGCAGATGTACTCTAGTTGTTCCTTAGGGATACAAGCTTCCGTAGTGATTGACTGCCATTTGTTCTTGGAGTAGTCATAGTGTGCCCATACGTTATGACTTATGGGCCGAACTACGACATTCTGGTGTATGGTTCCTAAGGTTAGGACAGGAAAAATAACTCTTTCTTTGGCAGCACTGATAGTAAGTACGTAGGCTTCAATTTGTTCAGTTTGCAGATTATAAGATAAAATTTACTAGTTGCCACCATGTTTGATAATTCTTTTCAAATTGGGTGGTGGAACTGTTTCTGGCTATTATTTCTTTTATTTCTTGAGGTAGTATCCCTGATGTTCCTTCTCTTAGTATTCCTGCAGCTACTGTTTGCACCCATTGCTGCGTTTGTATGCACTGGAAGGCAAATGCAATTTTCTTGTTAGTTTTACCAATATAGTTAGTGATTTTAAGGAAATCCTCAGAGGTATGGTTGGCTACTAGGGTCAACAATTGAACTGCTAGTGACTGTGTTTCAGCTAGAGTAAGCATGGATGAGCTTAAAGGACCTTTAAGTTCTCCCAGGTTGGATGTGACAGCACTTAGTTTATTTACTAGTACTTCCTGGTCTATCGTGTTTAGTACTCCTAAGCCCATGCCGAGCCATCCAGTTGCATCTCTCCGCATGCGTCGTGGGTGTGATCTGGCAGCTAGCCATGCCTTCCAACCCTTGAGGTTTTGTTGTATGAAGGACTGACAGTCTTTCTGTATGTGTGTTATGTTTATCTGGACATTTACTTGGATTTTCTTCAGTGAATATGTGGGATCTAATAGTAACTAGCTCATTGGACTGTCTTACTACATGGGGTCCTATAAAAGTCAGATTATGTACTCCCTTGCAATTTGGAACAGGAGTTGTGGTTTTGTCGGTTACTCTTTCAGGTGGCTTGGTAGTGGGCTTTGCTTCGAGTTTGATAATAAATATCTCAGAAATACCCCTATTTTTGCTCACCCAAGTGCACTGAACTGACACTGATTGATCTAGTAATATTTTTGTTTCACACTCGTCTTTGTGTTGTTCGGTTTTTTTATATTTTCTTTTTGGCATGAAATTGGACCCTTTCTTTTATGCCAAATATTATTATCTATCTGACTAAATGTGAGTGATTGGTTGGTCAAGGACTTCACTACCAGTTTGATCTGTTTAGTCTTTTGTGTTAAGGTATGAATACCTCTGCACCCTATTTGTATTCATTCAATTTTCCTAATACAGTGCTTAATGATTTGGGGGTTTTAATCCAGTCCTGTTGTGTGTATGATTTGTTATTGTGTAGGACGTAAATGGCTAAGCCTGGCTTAGGCCCTGGGTCTTCTGAGGAATGTACCCCAGTCCAAATTAATGACTTGATAACTTGTGCATTTGACCATGGCCATTCCATGGTAAGGTTTTGTGCTGAAGTTATCAAGAGTCCAAGGAACAATGCTGTAGTCTGACAGTCCATGGTAGTGGGTTCCTTCAGGAATTCCCTTGGTGGTTCTCTGGAGCTTTCTTGACTTGGGAGTAATGGATCCAAGCAGGTCATTTTTTAATCCTGATCACAGTGAAGGTGGTCAGTAGTACCTGGAACAGTCCTTCCCACTTTTTTTGCAGAGGTTTTCCTAAAAGATTCTGAACATATGCCCAGTCACCAGGATGGAAAGGATGCAATTTACAGTCAGGTTGTTTGGGTTGGTGGTGTATTACCACTGTGGTATTTTTATCAAAATGTTTTCCCACTGCTATTACATAATCATATATGTATTGATTGCCTATCTGATCTACAGTTTCGCTGTTTACAACCTGCATCGCATAAGGTCTACCATACAGGATTTCGAATGGACTCAGCTTCTCTTTTGAAGGAGGCTTCACTCTCAGCCTAATCGGGGCAACAGGCAAAGCCTGGTACCATTGTAAATTGGTTTCTTGGCATATTTTGGCAATTTGTTGTTTGATGAGATGGTTCATTTTCTCTACTTGCCCACTAGCCTGGAGCCTGTACGGTGTATGCAATTGCCATTTGATTTGCAATGCTTTACTTATTGTTTTTATAACTTTGGCACAAAAGTGTGAGTCTCTGTCTGAGGAGGTACTTTTAGGTACCCCAAATCTCGGTATGATTTCATTTAGCAGAGCTTTGGTTACTTCTCTCTCTTTATTTGTTCTGCATGGGAATGCTTCAGGCCACCCAGAAAATGTGTCTGTCAAAACAAGGAGGTATCTATACCCCCCCTTTTCTTGGAAGTTCAGAGAAATCAATTTGCCACACTTCTCCTGGGAATTTTCCTCTGTTAATTGCCCCTTGATGTATTTTAGTCCCTGTGTTTGGGTTATTTTTCAAACAACACTCACATCGAGATGTGACTTGCTTTATTGCTGTGAAAAGCTTTGGTCCTGCTATCCTGGCTGATAGAGGGGATCTAAGGCCCAGTGGGCCTTATCATGTTCTGCTTTTACAAATTGCCAGATTAATTTCTCTGGTAGTACTAACTGTCCTGTCTCCAACTGGCCCCACCCATTATCTAACATCTTACCTCTGTTTCTTTGTATCCACTTGCAATCTGAGTCCTGGTATTCTGGTTTAAAATTAGTATGTAATTCTTCTGGAACTAAGGCTGATATAATTACCTCATCAGTTCTTGCAGCAGCTAATTTAGCTTCTGCAATTACCTATTTCTGGAACGGTGTTACCTTTCAGGTGTCCCTTGCAGTGTATTATGGCCACTTGATTTGGGAGTTGGACGGCTTCCACCAACTGTAGGATTTCCTCAGCATGTTTTATAACTTTCCCTTGGGTCGTCAGCAGTCCTCTCTCCTTCCAGATTGCTCCATGTGCATGTACAATGGAGAAGGTATATTTAGAATCTGTCCAAATGTTGATTCGCTGTCCTTCTGCTAGTTCAAGAGCTCGGGTAAGAGCTATCAGTTCTATTTTTGTGCTGAGCTTCCTGCAGGCAAAGGGTTTGATTCGATTACCTGTTTTGTTGTGGTTACAGCATAACCTGTCATCCTCACTCCTTGTCTCATGAAACTGCTGCCATCTGTGAACCAGTCTTCTGCATCTTCAAGCGGCTCTTCTCTAAGGTCCGGATGGCTGGAATACACAGCTTCGATGGTTTCTAGGCAGTCATGTTCAACGGGCTCTGCTGACATTCTTCCTTCTAGGAATGAAGCTGGGTTCACAACGTTAGTTATCTGAATGGTTATATCGTCTGATTCAGCTAAGATTGCCTGATATTTCAGGAACCTGGAAGGTGACAACCAATGGCCACCCTTCTGTTCCAGTACTGCTGACACAGTATGGGATACTAGAACAGTCATTTTCTGGCCCATCGTAATTTTTCTGGCTTCTTCTATGTTCATTATCACTGCAACTACTGACCTCAGACAGGTAGACCATCCCCTGCTTACTTCATCTAACTGTTTATAGAAGTAAGCTACGGTTCTTTTGTAAGGTCCAAGTTGTTGAGCCAGGACGCCCAAAGCCATTCCCTCCCGTTCATGTGAGAATAGCCAGAATGGTTTTGTTACATCTGGCAGGTCTAATGCTGGGGCATTCATCAATTCCTGTTTCAGTGTCTTAAAGGCTGTTTCTGCTTCCGGTGTCCAGACTAGGACACCTTTGGTTTCTTTTATCAGTTCGTACAGGGGTTTTGCAAGTATTCCATACTGGTATATCCATAAACGACACCAGTCTGTCATTCCCAGAAAGGCTCGCAGGTCTCTCACCGTTTCTGGCCTGGGCATCTGGCAGATGGCTTCTTTTCTCTCCATTCCCAGAGATCACTGTCCTCCGGAGATTTCGTATCCCAGGTACCCCACCTTTTCTTGTACCAACTGGGCTTTCTGCTGAGAGACTCGATATCCATTTAGTCCCAAGAAATTCAACAATGAAATTGTCCATTCTATACATTTTTCCTCAGTTTGAGTTGTTATGAGTAAATCATCAACATATTGTAGAAGAACGCCCTCTCCCTGTGGCCGTTCCCATTGTTCCAATTCCTTAGATAATTGATTTCCAAATATTGTGGGACTATTTTTGTAACCTTGAGGTAAGACCGTCCAAGTCAACTGTGTTTTTCTACCTCTGCTGACAGACTCCCATTCAAAGGCAAAAATTTTCTGGCTCTCTGGGGCTAAGGCAAGGCAGAAGAATGCATCCTTCAAGTCTAACACTGTAAACCAAGTTAGGTTATTCTTCAATCTGGTCAGGAGTGTATAAGGGTTGGCTACCATTGGATGCAGGGTTTTTGCGATTTCGTTTACTGCTCTTAAATCCTGTACCAGTCTGTAGGTTCCATTTGGCTTCTTAATTGGTAAAATTGGTGTATTGTATTCTGATTCGCATTCTATTAATAATTCCAATTCTAAAAATTTTTCTATTATAGATTCAATTCCCTTCCTGTCTTCTAACCTTAATGGGTATTGTTTTCTGTGTACTGGTTTTACTCCTGATTTTAATTCTATAACTACTGGGGCTGCCTGCTTTGATTTCCCAGGGATATCTGTGGCCCACACTAACAGGTAAGCTTCACTCATAATTTGTTCAACACTATGATTGTTTGGTTTTGGTTCTACATAGCTGACAGTCAGGCTTAGGGCCATTATAAGTTGTTCTCCATTTACTTGAAATTCAAGTTTGTTTTTATCAAACTTTATTATAGCTCCTAAATTTTCTAGTAAGTCTCTACCTAGAAGGGGCTTTGGAGAATTAGGTAAATATAAGAATTGGTGAATTCCCATTTGTTTTCCAATTTTATATTTTAGGGGTTTCAAAAAGAAGGTTTTTTCTGATTGTCCTGTAGCTTCCATCACTTGAATAAATTCATCACTTTTTGGTACTAATTCTTGATTTAGAACTGAAAATGTAGCTCCAGTGTCGATTAAGAAGTCTAATTCTTTTTTACCTTCCCCTAGCTCCAATTTAACCAGTGGGTCTGCTAGGGGACGGCCCACCGGTCCACTTCAGTCACTACCTTGATGGGCAATGACAGACACTTTCTCATTTTTCTCATTCTTTTTAGGGCACTCCCATTTCCAGTGTCCCTTTTGAAAGTAATATGCACAGTGATCTGACTCGATCTTCTTTTGCCGAGGAATGAAACTTTTTTCTTGCTGAGATTTGCTACGATCCTTACTGTTACTGTGTGAATTTGAACCTGGGTACTTTGAGTTGTGTGCTGCCATTGCTATAACTACAGCTTTGGCAAGCTTTATGTCCTCTTTCTTCTTTTCGTCTTTCTCTCTGTTATTGTATACTTTCCAGGCTTCATTCATCAGCATTTCTAAGTCTGTATCTGCCGGGTGCTCTAATTTTTGCAGTTTCTTTCTAATGTCTGGATTACTTTGCCCCATGAGTAATGCTAGTAATTGTTGTTTCCCAGTCTCTGATGCGGGGTCTAAGGGGGTGTATTGCCTCATGGCAGCTCTGAGTCTCTCCAGGAAATCTGAGGGTGTTTCATCCCGTCCCTGTCTCACGTCATACAAAGCGACCCAATTTATTGCTTTAGGAATTGCATTTCACAAGCCTAAGGAAATTAACTTTCTATACTGTACTAGTAAGTCATATTGAACCGAATCATTTGGATCCCATTTCGTATTTTCTTCTGGAAATATATCTCCACCATTCCCTGGTAACAGGGCAGCATGTGTTCTCCCTGTTTTTAACACCAGTTCTTTCTCTGTTTCTGTTAGTTCTGACAACATGTGATCTATATCTTCCCGATCTATATCTTCCCAATCTATATCTAAGTTTTTTGCAATCAATTCAAATCTTTTAGTGACTCCTGGATTTTTCCTAAAACATTTGGCTTCCTCTCTCCAGTTGTTTAAGTCACTGGTCATGAAAGGTACCTTAACCCTCAATTGTTCTCCCACTATTGGCATTATTTGATGGAGGGGAGCTATGGTATGCGCCCCCTTTGTTTTATCTTTAGCTTTACTACCCTCTTTGACCCTCCGTTCTGCAGCTCTAGTATGATATGAATGGCTTGTTCCCTCCTCTGGGTCATCTTTTCCCGGTGTTGGTGGGCTAATTTCTGTTTTATCTTCTCCTAGATCTGATATTTCTTTCTCCTTTCCCTCCCCTTTTTCTTTCCCTTTCAGAGTGCTTTCTCTTTTCCTGAAGAATGACTCCAACTGACTATCGCCGGTATCATCTTTTATTGGTGGAGGAAAGGGTTGAATTTCGCTGATACTGATCACGCTTTCCTGTTCACTGTCCCTCCTTAAGTTAAGGCACCTCTGACCTATGCTGCATGCGTCACAACAATGCTTTTTCTGTTTGTGATTTTTCTGATCCTGTTCTAATGCTAGAATAAGGGGGTCTTGGGGTGCTACATTTATTCCACAGTCTTTTTGCCATTCTGGCTTGTTTCTTAAGGTGAAAAACATATCTGCGTACATGACTTTGTCTCACTTCTACATTCTACGGAGGAACAGCATAAGTTGTAGGATGGTATTGTATTTTGAACTTCCCTCTGGGAGTCACCTTTCTCCATCATCTAATTTATACAAAGGCCATCAATCAAGACAATATTTGAGAAAGGTCTTTTTGCTTAAGTTCCCACCAGGGATTCCACCCAATTCTTTCCAATGTTTCAAAATACATCCCAGGGGAGTCTTGGGATTTACTTCTTTACTTTGTTGGCTCCCCATCCTGTCTGGGTTTAAAGGGTATCTAGTGCATTTAAATACCTATCTGGGGGTTGTGTGATGTTACTCAGTACTCTATTGTCTGTCAAATACTATCCCGTATAGTTATCATAAACTCATGTAGGCTCCCAGTTCTTAAATTCTTGGATTACAAAGTAATCGTCTAAGTGCCACCGGACTGCACTCAAGATAACCCCTCCTACTCGTGTTGGTGTCTTACTAGTTTTCGATCTTCGCCTAAGATTATTTCTCAATTTTTTTTCTCCCACTTCATCCGTACAATTTCCAACCGCTTCGTTCGTCTCTGGCCATGCCAACGGAACCGTGGATCAGAACTCCACACTCAGTTTCGCAGTAAGAAGACTGCGTCTCACACACACATCTATCACACTTTGTGATTTCAGTGAACAACGCGCATTACAGATTAAGGTCACAAGATGTCGCCACAGACCGTGCAATGCAAAATCCAGTTTCTGTTACTTACACACAGTCACAAAACACCGGTATAGCCAATACACAAATTGCATATTGCAAACAGACAATATAATACCAAATGAGTTCAACACACGAACCACATATATCAAACAAGACAATACAATACACAATGGGCCCAAAATCCCTATCTAAACCAGAAACCAGAAGGAAACTAGTGAGTCAATCTCCAAACAGAAAGAGACCGATTTCCCAGCTTCCTGAACAGATATTTGTCCAAATATTTGGTCAAATACAACCGTACAGACCGACGGAAGTGTCCTTCCGCATGATAACAATAGCGTCCTGTCCATGCAATGGAACACTTTATCACAGACCACAGACACCAATGCAACTTAAACCAGAATAAATACCTTTTAGCTATGAGGTCCTTATCCACCCCCGTGAGAAACCAGAGAAGATGGGAGCCCACCCTTTATAGGTAAAAGCTTAACTTGGCATGCCTGGGAGGGGTCCCGAGCTCCATTGGATTCCACAGCCGAGTGGATTCAGCCTCCTGCCTGGCTCGCCAAATTGTTGCCCCAAAAGGCAAAGAGAAACTGCTTAGAGACAGAGTTTTATGCCTTTAAACAGCAGGTATTTATTATTAAGCGACATCAGAGAACTCCCTGGCTCGGGCCAGGCAAAAGTTCTGAAGTGGTCAGGCAAGAATAGGTAATTTATACAGTCTCTGATTACGATTACATCATATTCACATACATATTCATGTTATTGTATTATTAGACTATAATATTCATAGCAGGTGGACTCAGGTGCGGGTTTTGAGGCGTGGCCTTCATTTTGGGGAATAATCAAGTGGTACATCCTGTCTTACTTCATCGGAGGGTCTCAAATTTACTCTTCTTCGTTGCATGAACTCTGGTGAACTCCTGAACTTTCCATTTTTTTGTGTTCTATCCACTGAAGCTTGAAGAAAGCCTTGGCTTCAGGCCGATTTTACGTATTCAAATGTCTACCTTAGTCTATTTGACCATAATTTATTACCTCTGAGGTCTTTGTATAATGTTTCTTGTGGGTTTAGGTCTGTTGAATTTGTACAGAACAAAATTTCCTTTGAGTAAGGTAGAAAACCGGGGGGGGGAAGAAAAGTGGGTCTTTGCAGTAAGATGCTTGATTAACCCTTCTAAAGTCTTGTTTCGCTTCAATTCCCTGCCCACTGCCCAGTCTGCCTCGGATTTCATTGGAGAAGCCAGTGCCATCTGCGGAGGAACTTTTGAGGGAAGAGACTGCCCCTCCCCTCCTCCGGTGCCATGTTGGCAGCAGCTTGTACCCATCGATGAAGGGGAGGATCCCAGCCAGAGCCAGCCTCTGACAGTGTGAGTCAATAGGAAGAATCCCCTTTCCCCCTTCTCCTTCCCCTTTCGGTGAGGGGGGGAAACCCATTCGGCTTCTCCCGTGCACCGGGGCCCTACGTGGCACCTGCCAGAGCCCAACAGCGCCCCCTGCCAACCAACACAGAGCAACTGCAGCCTCGGTCCTCCAGAGATCCAACAGCGCCCCCTGCTGGTCATGGTTAGAATTACGCCGAAAGGCAAAAAGAACTGGTTTTGGATAGGAATTTGGGTGCATGATTGTTGTTTGTTTTTGTTCTTTTAGTGTGCTACCTATACACATATATTCTTTAATAAAGGGTTGCTTTTTTTTCTTTCTCCACATTTCCTCGACTGGAGCCTCTTAATTTCGGGGGAAGCTTGGTCTTCCTCATAACTCGTCCTCCTTAGCAAACACTTCTGTCTCAATTGAGACATAAAAAAGTAATATAGTGCACTGTCACAAAGCAATTACTTTAAAACAATTGTATCAAAGCTAGAAAAAGAAATAATTATTAAGTAGAGATTGATGAAACTCACCATATGACATAGCGGGCTGATCTCTCTCTTAACCCTTGGGGAGTAACCATGGAGAAGCATCCCTGCTTCACAGGAGAAGCTCCACACTTCAGGGAAGTATGTGGAAGAATCTGCCATATGGAAGTTGGACTGGGCTTTTATAGCTATTAAGTGATGAACTGGTAGTCACAGATTTACAAGCCGGCAGGCTAGTTTATCTGTCAAGTCCTGCTTCAAAAGCAGGGTATGTATTCAAAGTTTGGTGGACCAGGATGGTTTTAATCATAATTTAACACCAAGACTAACACCCTGGTGCTATGAATTGATAGCTTGCATAGTATGCATTCTCTGATTGGATTTTAGATCTTATCAGGGTGGCCCTTTCCTGCCACACATCCTGCCTAGATGCCTTTGTTTTAAAGGACTGTTTCCCAAGGTACTCTCCCAATTAGCATCCTTAATAGGCTGAAGTCTGCCCTCCGGAAGTCCAGAGTAGTGGTTTGGTTGATACCCCTCCTTGTTTCACCAAGTATTGAAAACTCCATCATTTCATGGTCACTGTACCCCAGATGGCCTCTGACCACCACATCTCCCATCAACCCTTCTCTGTTTGTAACCAGTAGGTGTAGT